GCACCTCTGGTCTAGAAGCATGAGATGCAAGTATAACTCCCTCTTCCTGCTGGCAACAACATAAAACAGACGGCTCCACACACAGCCAAATGGTGAGGACAAACAGCACTTCTGGGCCCGGCACTGTGGCACATGCCTGGAATCCCAGTACTCAGGAGGCTGGGCAGAAGGACTGCTGTGAGTGTGAGGCCAACCTGGGCTGCACAGTGAGTTCAAGGACAGCCTGAACTACTCACCAAGACCCTGTCTCAAAAACCGAATCACGGCTTGTTGAGAGGTACTGTTCTAAAGAAGGAGTTGGAGGAAGGTGTCAGAGTATTACATCTTCTAAAAATGCGCGCTCCAAAGGTGAGTACTGGCTTTTTTCTGGCCATGTCATAACATTTTAATATTTTAAAGTGAACCACTGGTATGTAGAATGTACTGGGTTATCAGTGTATAATCAATACATAAACCATATTGAATTTGGAAGGTACAACTCCACATACAAGGAGCAGAAATTTCCTGGTTAAGTTCATGAGCTGGGAATTATAATGCATGACCCCATGGCAGCTGTCAAAGCCCATCCGAGCATCCCTGAAGGAAGATATCCTTCCACCAAGTCTGTGGGGACACGTGATGACCAGGAGGGGAATGTACTGTCATCAGCTCCCCTATGAAAGCAGCATTCTTAGCACAGAGCACCACGGTGACAATATGGCAATAGCTACCAAAAAAGCCTAAGACTCAGGCATCCTATTTGTATGTTTATTGTGAACTAGCCTCAGGTGTTTATAAAAGGGCCGGTCCAGGTAAATTATGTCTTGTACAGAGCACACACACACCAGAGTCCAAATGTGGCCTCCAAATGTCATTTCCCACCAAAGGAGTAAGGGTTCTCTAGGGAAGTAGTTGATTCCAGGACTAAAAAACTACAACACAGAGTGTCCAGTTACACCAGAAAACAGGGAAGCATCAAACCAAGACTGGATATGTCAAAAGGACGCAGGAGGCAGCTTGACAAGGTTCTCTTTGGCCAACATGAGACATTCTGGTCATTAAAATAAGTGACTGCAAAGAATTATAACCCAATGAACAAAAGAGGATTCTATGGACCCATATAAATAAACAGGGAAGAAAGGAAAGGCTTTTCACCCTAGAATGTCAATCAGTAAATGCAGAAGGAATGATAGAATCAGAAAATGACCATGTGAAGCTGAGTGCAGTGGTAAACACCTGTAGTCTCAGCTGCTCAGGAGGCTGAGGCAGGAGAACTGTGTAAGCCCCTATTCCAGACCAATCCAAGGAACACTGAGATGCAGTCTTAAAAAAGAAACAATTTTTCAACAATCAATAATAACTGACTCATCAGGCAAGAATTATCAAGAGAGTCAGGATATTGAGATGACACTATTAATTACAGGGAGTGCAGGGAGGCTTTCCAATAGGAAATCTGCCAGACACTGCCTCAACCAAGTGATCAAAACCAGCATCACCAGCAGTGGAACGCGGTCACATGCCTTCTGTAACATTCCTGCCAAACATGCGTACCCTGAATCTCAGCATGACATAAACAAGTCCCAATTAAGGGACAGTCTACAGAATAATTGGCCCCTACTGGTCAAAACCATCACGGACATAAGAGACAAAGAACAGAGGAGCCATTGCAGATTAAGTGAGACAAAGGAGAAATGACAGCTAAACGGGATGTACAACTCTGGGTAGGTCCTGGCCTAAAGAAAAACAGTTTTTCATTTCCTTTGTTCTAAATTACAGTGGTAAAACTGAAAAAGGCTGATGGATTAGACAATGCTACTGTAACAACGTTAGTTTCCTAAATCTGAGAATTATACTGTGGTTATCAGTGTTCTTCTGTATTTAGCAAACACACATTGAAGTACTTAGGTACAAAGGGGGATTAAATCTGCACCCTCAAAGGGTGCAAAAAATTAGTATGTGTGTGTAAGGTAAATGTCAAGTGGGCACTCCAGCAGTGAACAGAGCAGCATGCACTGGTATTCTGCCTTCATTTTTTTCTCTAAGTATGAAGTTAACTCTCAATAAAAAGCTAAAAAACAAAAAACCAACAAAGAATGAGCTAGGACCAGAGGCATATGCCTGTATTCCACAGGCTGAGGCAGGAGAAAGGCAAGTTTGAACCCAGGCTGGGAGTTCAGTGAGCCACTGTCGCAAAACAGAAAATAAAAAAGGACTAGGGATGTAGCTCGGTATGAGGTCCAGGATTCAATTCCCAGGATCACAATAAAAAAAAAGTGTAGATTCTGGAATTTCACTCCAGCTTCTGGCTGTGTGCCTGCTTCCTGGTCTGCAGGATAAAGCAAAATAAGAGCCCTTCAGGGAGGCTGCGGGCCCCACTGATACACTCAGAATGGCTCTTGGCATGTAAAGTGGGTCCAGCAGACACTATTACTGGAGCACTGTCTTCCACAGTCAAAGACTGCCCAAAAGCCAAAACAAAATAAAACAAAAAACCTATGTGCCCATCAATAGGTTACTGATTAAAATAAATTATAGTAGATCAATATTATAGAATACTATGAAACTATATTGATTTGGCATTCTGTTTTGTTTTTTGAGAAAGGGTCTTGCTGTGTAGTTCAGGCTTTCCTTGAAAGCATAGTGATATGTGGTCCAGGCTGGCCTCAAACTTGTGGCAATCCTCCTACCTCAGTCTCCCAAGTGCTAGGATTACAGGTGTGTGTTACCATACCAGACTAAAACTATTAAAAAAAGACACAGGAATCTATATTGCTGAGAGGGAAGGAGTTATTGAATGAAAAGAACATGGAGCCGAATGAGATGCATAATATACAATCATTTGAGTGGAAGTAGCAGAAAAAACAGTATCTGTTTCTATCACATACATAAATATTGTGAACAGATATGCAAGAATCCAAATATATTAGAGAAGGATGCCTAAAAGAGAAAGTTTGGAGAGGCTTTGTATCGTAAAGGACTTTGTTTTCTGAATTTCTTTTTTTGTTTGTTTGAGACAGGATTTCACTATGTAGTTCAAACTGGCCTTGAATTCACTTTGTAGCCTAGGCTGGCCTCGAACTCACAGGGATCCTCCTGCCTCAGCCTCCCAAATGCTGGGATTATAGATGTGAGCCACCATGCCTGGCTGTTTTTTGAATTTTGAAATGTTAATATATTACGTATGGAAGAATTTTAGACTTTTCAAAAAGCAAATAAAACACTGATAGCAAAAATTAAAATTAAAAAAGTGAGGCTAGTCATTGCAGCATACATTTGTAATCCTAGCTACTCGGGAGGCTGAGGCATGAGGATTACAAATTGGGCCCCAGCCTGGGCAATTCAGCAACTTAGCAAGAGCCTGTTTCAAAAAATAACAAGGGAGGGGCTGGGGATTTAGCTCAGCGGCATAAGCGCCTGCCTTGCAAGCAGGCAGTCGTGAGTTTGATCCCTGGTACCAATAAAAAGGAAAAAGACAAAAAAAAAGAAAAAAAAAATAAGAAGGGGATGGGAATGCAGCTTCAGTAGGAAGCCGTTGGTTCAATCCTCAGCGCCACAGTAAAAAAAACTGATTTAATTTAAAAAATATAGTACTTGTCCCTTGTACATCAAAATCTCCAAATCTCAATATGAAGCAACAGGAAATAGGATGTAAAAAAATGAGAATGCTTATTATTTTAGTCTGCAGTCAGTCTGAATTAAGCTGTCTGAGGGACAACCATTCTGATATTTTTTCACCTTGCTAGTCTCCATTTCTGAGGCATCGATAAATAGAATTTTTGTATCTGAAACAGTCTTTTTTTCCCCCCTGTTAATTTTTGCCTTTTATTTTTATTTTTTTGAGAGTCTTGCTTTGTGTTCCAGCCTGGTCTTGAGCTCACAGTGATCCTCTTGCCTCAGTCTCTGTGAGTGCTGGGATTGTAGCAGTGTGCCACCACGCCTGGCAGCAAATGTGTTTTAAAAAGAAATAATCGCTATCCTCTGAAATCTTTAAACATACTAATGCTTTCTTATACCACATAAAAGTTTAGGGACGTAAAATACTTGCATGTGTTTGGATCAGTAACAGTAAGTTAGGAGGGTATTAAAGCACAGAGCCGCATCCCTAAAATAACTGTTCCTCCTGGGAGCCAAAGACTGGCAGACGACTGCCGGCTGCTGCCAGCACCTCCCCAGATGCTGTCTTCTGATTTCATACCACCATACACACAGCTGTCCACTAATGCTCATGTGCAACCCAGATTAGCTCAACTGTCCTCACAGCCGCAAATGTGCACAACATATGTAATCTCCTTCCATCAAAGGGAAAATCAAGGAGCACCATTCAATTATTTAAAAAGTCCCATGAGTTAACTTGTAGCCATTCACACCATATAAAACTTTCTTCAATTTACAAATAAAAGTGGAGCGACCTCCCCTCCCTGGTAAGCGGAGGCAGTGGGGCAGACTGCAGCCCTTCCAGGGGGAGAACAGCAGTGTCTCCCGAGATCCACGCCATGATGGAACTAAGGACGCTGTGAAACCAGTGAGCATCCTGCCTCCCTGGTTAGCAATAGTGAACCTACTGCTACATGGCCTGGAGTCAGATATCCCACTTCCCCTATCCTCCTCCCCCCGCCCCCCGCCCATTAGCAAACGGGAACCAGAAATCTGAGCGTCTCCTGGGAGGTTGGCCATAGCAAATAAGGGGACTTCCTTCTACCATTTCTTTGAAGGCAAATATTTTTATTACTGTTTTGCTCTTTTCTGATTAATGGTCCTGCTCTATTCAATATTCTGTTTTGATAAGTTCTATAGTGTTCTATATTTCATCTCATTTTGATATACATGATTGAAAGAACAACTATTATGAAGATAACAAAATATACTGTGATACCTATTACTGTTATCCTGGTAACCTGCTGTGAAGTTCTGCACCAATTTCACTGTACGATCTTAGTTGGCTTTATTCTGACTTGTTCTGTTGTATACTTTCAAAATAAAATTTAAAATAAATAAATAAATAAAAGTAGAGCTAATCTTACGTGGCAACTCCAGGCCTGGGTGCACAGTGGCATTTTTGACCATCGGGGGAGAATGGCGACCATCATCCATGTCCAGCTCAGTGCACTGAGCTTCTCCGTGGATCACAGCCAACCCCAGACGCAACCTCTCAGCATAGGACTGAGCTCTAAGAAGAAGGCAAAGAGAAATGTGGCACCGCTAGAGGAAACCCAAGCATCCCCACACAGTATCACTGTTAATCACAAGATGAAAACATCATTCCGCCATGTATGGTAGCTATGTAGTTCAGGCTGGCCATGGAACTTACTTTGTCTATAATCCCAGCACTCAGGAGGCTGAGGCAGGAGGATCTTTGGAAATTCAAGACCAGCCAGAACTGCATGGTAAGACTCATCTCAATAAGTGAAAGAAAGATAAACAACAACAAAAAACCTCACTCTTTTAGGGACACACAAAGAATTTATATGGATCAGGCCAGAAATAAATGTATCAAGGACACATGAGGTGGGTTAGTATCTGATTCTATATAATTTTGCTTCTATCCTTGTCAAATACCTTTTGCTTTTTTTTTTTCATCTTGATAACCATCTCCTTTCTCTAGCATTCTAATGGACAGCTTTAGAAACTTTGTTCAGAAAAATTGTTTTCCTAAAAACAATTCCCTGAAAAATGCTCACAGCCCCACTAGATTTATTTTTCCTGAGACTTGGAAGGAAAAGCTTCATTTCCTCCCAGGAGCAAACTGAGCTAATTCTGAGTTGCAGGCCAGATGGGAACCTGTGCCTTGGATATGACGATGACATGGGAGAAAGTCTGGGTGTTTACTGGCCATCTTATGACAGGCTTAGATTCCAAAACAGCTAATTCCAACTTCAGATTTACCCAGAAAAAGACTTCTGTGAATGTCTAGCTTAGTTACCTTTTTGCAGCATCAGGAGATTTAGCTACAATGACTGCGTTTCTGTAATTTGGAATCTATATTTGGAAGAAAAACAGAAAATACTGAAAGGTTATTAAAAACAAACAAACCTGGATGCTTCTATTATACTTTTTTCCTCTTATAACAATGATTCAAATAGTAATCAAACACGTTAAAACTTCATTCACACATTTAAATTTTTTCACCATTTATGAATAAGCATCTCTGCAAAAGTACTACATCACAAGAATAAAAAATAATTCAGCCAGACATGGTGACACATGCCTGTTATCCCAGCACTGAGTGGGCTGAGGCAGAGGGATAGTTTTGAGTTCAAGACCAGCCTGAACTACATAGAAAGACTCTGTCTCAAAACCAAAACAGACAAAACAAAACATTCAGTCATTTTTCCTCTTGTTAAATAAAAGTTAGGGGCTAGGTGTGGTGGCACATGCCTGCACCCCAGTACTCTGGGAAGCTGAGGCAAGAGGATGGCAAGTCGGAGGTCAACCTGGAAAACTCAGTGAGATCCTGTCTTAAAAAAAAAAAAAAAGAAAAAAAAGCTGCAGATGTAGCTCAGAGCAAAGGCCCTGAGATCAGTGCCCTGTACCATCAGTCAAGTGACTAATCTTAAAACCTTCGTTCTAGAAAACATAAGCAAACTGCTAAGGAAATCTGTGTTTAATGTCTTTTAAAAATATGATCCTCCATGACTACATGCTGGGTACATCTGGCTGCCATAATCATTAAGGTGGAAGGGAAGGAAACATCTGATGTGCCTTTCAATTCTAAAATCTGGTACCAGGAAAAGCTAAACAGGATCTGAGGGCAATGGACATGGTTGGTGGCTCCTCACTTCTTCCTGGATGTACTGAAGCAGGAAAGGTGAGGCTCTAAGGTTGTCCACAGGGAAGCTGAAAAAGCCTTGTATTTCCTTTTGGTGAAGATCCATAGTGATAATGTGAGTTAAACCTGAAATTTTAAAACAAAAAATTACAAAGCTCTCCCCTACAAGTTAATGGCTACAGCGGATATGCACTGGGTGTTCATGTTCACCTCCGTTTCCTACCAGAAGACTGAAGGCAGCGGATGTAACCTGCACCACAGTTACACACTTTTATTGTAAAGCTTAACAAACCTGAAGTAAAAAATGTGTTGAGCCTAATGCCAAGGAACCCACGACTTCCCAAGGACCAGAGAACTCAAGATAACAGAGAAGTGCTGCCCTCTACTATCAGCAGCTTGATCCTGAAAAGTGAGAAGAGAAAGACGAGGCACATGTGAAAATATGACTATGGAGCTAACAAATACCAAAGCAGTCACAGGTATGAACCATAAAAAGGTCTTTATTAAAAATGCAGGGATAAATATTGAAGGACTGTGGCTATGGCAGACAGGAACAAAAAATTAAAAGCAAAGTAATGATGGCTTAAGGAGTATTCTTACAAGAAAGATGAAGAAATCCTACCCTTACCATAGTACTAAACAGCAAAGAGCACGTGCACAAATACCTTGCAAACGGTCAAAAGGCACTGAGAAATTTCCACAGTAAAGAACTAATATTTTTAATAAACAACAAACAAATAAAAGCTCAGTAATTATAAGGTGTTACATCTGGTTTATAGGCAGGAATTAGGCCTTTGCTATACAGATAGAATGAAAACAGTGAAAATGAGCTGAGCGGCCTGCAAAAAGGCCAGAGGGATGGAGCAGGGGTAGAGCATACCATAAAGAAACAGTAACAGAAAAACCCAGCGTTAAAGCTGAGAACATGAAAAGAATGCAGCTAACTAATGCAAACACAAATGAAGACCACACAGGACTGCCAAGCCTAACAGTTAAATGTGATTAACCAGAGCAAGTAAAAGTGACACAATGATTAAAAACAGGTCTGATTTAGAGGCGAAACAATGAAGTATTATCATTCTAAAAAGAAAAACACAGTAAAAATTATAAGCTCACATATTCTTTTTTTTTGTCTTTTTCCTTTGTATTGGTACCGGGGATCGAACACACAACTGCCTGCTTGCAAGGCAGGCGCTTATGCCGCTGAGCTAAATCCCCAGCCCAGCTCACATATTCTTAAACAAACTATGCAAAAGAAAATAGGTAAGAAAAACCAAGAAATAAATGCAGGAAAAGATCCCAACTAAGACACTTGAGGTGAAGAACTAACCCCAGATAGGGAAGGGTCAGAACGCTATGTCACACTCCAGCGCTCCGTTCGCTCACCTGCTTTGGCCAGCATGGAAGCCAGGAGCTTGCACACAATGGAGCCCCTCTTCCTCATCTTGCTTTGCTTGCTGTAGGGGAAGTAGGGAATGACCCCAATGATGTTCCTGGCACAGGAAGTCTTCAGTGCGTAAGCCATGATCAGTAGCTCCATCACAGCTGTATTGACATCTCTGGAACAGTTAATATTTGTTTTTTTGAGTGAATTATATGTACTAACTCTTAAAAGGGATCTCAATTTTTTTTTCTTGTGGGAGACAGAGGATGAGGTGGTCTTGGAACCTTTCAAAAACTTGTGTCCCTTCTTGCTGAGACAGATTTCTGACAAATATTATGCACAGAGAGAAGGAAATATGACCCTGAAAGGTATATGAACGCAGGGTAGGTCCTGATGGTAATGTATGGCCGCCCCTCTTTGCCAAGGCTGTTTGACCTCAGATGGGTTCTCTTCTTCTGAAGGCAAGGCTGGTAAATCTTTGGGACGCTCTTCCTGTATCTACCTGTACTTAGCCTCTTCTGTCTCCATGTAGGGTTTTCCATGAGTCTTCAAACACCGCATTGTGATGTGTGTCTAGTTGTCCCCTCAAAGCCTCATCAGTCATAGGCTTTTTTTTGGAGGTGGCCAAATCTAGAGTGTGTGACTGATTCATAGCAATGCTGGGATTAAGGGTGCTGGGATCCAGAGGAGGTAACCACTGAATCATCGGCCCACTGACTAGATTGGCACCACCCTAATCCCAATAAACTGGATAGAATACAAGGGACAGAAAGAGGCTTGTCTCGCTCCTCCCTGTTTGTTGCTTCTGCTATCCTGTGGATGCCATCAACTGTTCTCTGTTGATGGCCTTCTGCCAAGTCACTTGCCTCAGAGCCAGCTGACTATGGACTGAACCTCTATAAAATGCGAACCAAATAAACCTTTCTTAACTTTGAGTGGGTATCAGGTATTTTGTCTCAACAACAAGAAAAGTAACTAAAACAGAAATCAAAATGTTGTTTATGGCCATACCACCCTGAACGCCCCTGATCTCGTCTGATCTTGGAAGCTAAGCAGGGTCGGGGCCTGGTTAGTACTTGGATGGGAGAAACCCAAATGTTATGGTCTGTGTGTCTAGATTTATCCCCAAAGCCTCATGCAATCATAGGTTTTGTCCAGAGGTGGCTGAAGCTAGAGTGTGTGACTGACTTATGGTACAGTGCTGGGACTAAGGGTGGGTGACGGCTGGATCAGTCTACTGACTGAATTGGCACTGCCCTATTCCCTCTAGACTGGACATAAGTAACAGAAAAAGCTATGAATAGTTGCCCCTCTACCATGTAGCACCATGCCTTGGAGCCAGCGAGTTATGGACTGAAACTTCTACAAACTCTGAGCTAAACAAACTTTTCCTTAACTTTGGATGTCAGGTATTTTATCTTGGTGATGAGAAAACTAACTAAGAGAAATGGGTCATATTCCCCCACATCACTGGTCCTACCGTAGGCAGAGCAGGTTCTGCAGGGGCAATTCCTGAACTGTTAATGTAGAAGTGAGGTTGTCCTTGTTGTTACCAAGTGCGAATCTGCCACTGACCCAGCAGAGACCTAGGAAGGTTTGCAGAAGGGATGGCAAAGCAAGTTTTTTAATCTGCAGGACAAGCAGGCTATTCCTTCCAGTGTCTTCCTATTCATGCTTCCACCTCTCAAAGGCAGTTTATCCAGAAGTGAGGAAGGACTCTAACAGTGTTTTCCACTTCCACATTCAACTCACAAAACGGCCAAGCTCACTTCTATAGTTTATGATTGCTGTCACTACTGCAGGATTCTATGACTAAAAAACAAACAGAAACAGCTCTCCCAGAGGACAGGCTGATTCCTCAAGACTACAGACATTTCTTTTGATATAATGGTAAGTTCCATTCTTCTGGTTATCATTTCTTTTCTCTAAATATGCCAGACTGCTAATGTCTAAGCCTGGAATCAAAAGTCAGAAGACACATGGTCTTTTGGCACACTGATGACAAAACAATTATCAAATGTTTTCAAGGTACTTGGGAATTCACAACACTCTTCTCTTTTAGTTCAAGCACCCATTCCACAAATATTTACTGAGTAACCTGTGTCAAGCCCTGAGGGGTTAAAACAACAAACAAGGCAGACCACATCTGGGGAAGGCTGGGAACACAGCTTCAGCTTGGATCATCTTTTTTTGCTTATTAAAATACTGAGTTTGTTTCACATGTATACTTTTACTTCCCTGCCATTTCCATATTTGACCACCACTATTATTACGCCCTCTCGTAACATTCAACACATGTTTAAAACTGAGCAAAAGGTGGAATTTTATCTTTAAAAACTAAATAGGCATTCTGGACAACACATTCTTAGCAATAGAACCTGGAAAGTATCCGTCAAATACCATGGGGAAAGTTCTCTTTGCATTACTGAAAGGATAGTCAAATATCAACTGTCACAGAAACAAAGAAAGGCAGAAGATTTTAACAACCTGTTTAAACTGTGTCTTCTTAAAAAGATTTCCTCTGGGGCCGGGGATTTAGCTGAGCAGTGTAAGTGCCTGCCTAGCAAGCCAGAGGTCATGAGTTTGATCCCCAGTCCCTCCGCCCAAAAAAAATTTCCTCCTTAGCCTGAGATTTTGAATAGCCATCTACTTAATCACCTGAAAGTAATTCTTCACACAACTTCCTCTTTGGGACGAGAACCACCTTTTTCTGTATTTGGTTGCATTCTTTTTTGTAGTTTTCGGAAGTTATTTTTTATTTATCCTGGTTTAATTTTTGTATATGCTGTAAATATAGGTTTAATTTCAAGTTTTTGCTTATGGATGTTTACTTATTCCAGTATCATTTGTTGAAAAGACTGTTCATCTACACCAGATTTATTTATGTTTTTAAACACTGAGTTATATATGCATGTACTCGTGTCTAAATTTTCTATTTAGATGTATTTTGTATTTTAAATTTTTTAAGGAGAATAAAAGCAAAATTACAAAACAAGGTAATTTGTGGGTAAGAATGGTTACTACATTTCATATTGTTATCTTCAAATTTGTAACTCAGAGTACAAGATTTTAGCATTTAATTGGCAAATAATATTAGCACAAAACTTTTCAACAAACTAAGGGAAATTAGTAGTATAATTATCTTAAATATCTTTTACCGACATATATACATATATATGTATATATGTACCTATCTATCTTTTTTTTAATTTTGAAAGTAGTAAAATACAACAGAACAAGACAGAATAAAGCCAACTGAGACCATGTAGTGAAACTGGTACAGAACTTTACAGCAGGTTACCAGGATAATGGTTACAGGTATCACAGTATATTTTGTTATCTTTACAATAGTTGTTCTTTCAATCATGTATCTCAAAATAAAATGAAATATAGAACATTATAGAACTTATCAAAACAAATATTGAATAGAGCAGTACCATTAATCAGAATGAAGCAAAACAGTAATAAAAATATTTGCCTTCAAAGAGATGGCAGAAGGAAATGCTCCTTATTTGCTATGGTCAACCTCCCAGGAGATGCTCAGATTTCTGGTTCCCTTTCGCTAATGGTGGACAGGGGAAGCAGGGAAGGGGAAGTGGGATGTCTGACTCTAGGCCGTGCATCAGTAGGTCGCTTGGTTTCCCAGAGACCTAAGTTCCAACATGATGTGGATCTCAGGAGACCCTGGTAGTTCTTCCCCTGGAAGGGCCGCAGTCTGCCACACCGCAGCCACTTACCAGGGAGGCGAGTAGCTTGCTTGTTTTCCCAGAGTTCTAAGCTTCAACATCTGGTTGCGTTTTTGCTTTCGTATCTTCTACAAAACTAGATTCTTTGGGTGTTTCAAGAGGTTTTTTTCCCTATTTTTAGACCTTTGACCTTTTGATCTTGGTGTTGGTTTTGAGTCTTGTCCATTCTGGTTTGATTTCTGTGCTGGAGTATCTTGTACATATCTTCACTGGACCTTTCTTTTCAGTTCCCTTGTCATCAAATCATCTCCATCATCATCATCATCATCTTCGGCTGCCAGTTTTACCCTTTTCTTCTGTGGAACCTTGTTACCACTTCTGGAGGCAGATCATTTCCAGATATACCTAAGCTTTACATCCACTTCCTCTTACTCTTCTGACTCTGCATCTCCCGCACACTAACATACAAGTGGACACACACTTCATCCTTCAGACCACAGGCGGTAAGCCAGGCACGGTGGCGCACATCTGCAGTCCCAGCAGGTGGGAGGCTGAGGCAAGAGGATCACAGAGTTTGAGGCCAGTCTTGGTTACACAGTAAACCCAAGGGGCCAGCCTGAACTACACAGTGAGACCTTGTCTCAAAAACCCCACAGGTGGGATAATTTCGAAGTCCCCAAGGGAAACTGCTGGATGCTCAGACATTTTCAAAGTTGCCTTTGTAATTCACTACCTCTGCTTTAACAATGTGAAATTCATCTTTGCACCAGCCCTTAAACTGAGTTTTTCTTTTGTGCTTTTGGGACAGGTTCTAGCTATGTGGTTCAGGCTGGCCTTAAACCCACTTTGTAGCTTAGGCTGGTCTCAAACTTACAATGATCCTTCGGCCTCAGGCTCCCGAGTGCTGGGATTACAGGCATGAGCCACCACACCCAGCCTAAACTGACCTTCTTAATGACAACGTTCTCATTTTCAGCATTACCCACATTAAAGTGACAATCTTTGTCAGCCTCTAGTTACAACTGAAAGACCATTCTGGGGCCTCAGGGGCTCATGTCCATGTCCATCGACTCTACCGTGGGGTGATGATATGCACTTAAGTGGGAGAAAATGGGGACAGAGATAAATGTCTATCCTATCATTCTAGGGAATAGTCACCAGGACAAAATCACACTGGGGAACAGCTCACTTAACTCCAAAGGAAGGCTCCTCTCCCAAAGCCTTATTCTTTGTTCCACAGCAAGATGATCCAACTCAATGCCTGGTAAGTTCCTGGTGCTAAGTGGGCAAGGCTGCACCTGTAATCCCTAGAGTCCACGTCTATAATCAACACCGGACATTAACTATCCTAGAGCCAAAGTCCTCTTCTACTGCTCGGCTGCTTATCAACTTTGGCTTGACCCTGTGATCTTCCTGTCTTAACCTTCTATTGTGTGCCACAAGGTGGCCTTACACAGCTTTCCTACACTGGACGTGGTTGTTAAACCAG